TAGTTCGGCAGTTCAGCGGTTCAAATTTTCTTTAAAAAGTTCTTTTTATTAAATATTTATGGTAATGGATTAGCGTTAGTTTTTCTAAAAAAGTCGAAAACCGACACGAGATAGTCACGAGACCATAACAATGATGAAATTCTAATTTCAGTTTTAAGTATTTGATTGGTTGAATATCGGCTTTTTTCTTAATATCCTATTGGTTCAAAAAGTAATGTATCAAGATCGAAACAGAGCATTCCTAGAATTTCATATTAACGAATCAAACACTTCTCGCAAACTGATTGTAAAAAAAAAGAAAAAAAAGGAAATAATTAGTTTATATGCAAAGTTCTTTGTGGTGAACATATTGTAAAGTATAATCAGAAGATTCCTCTTTACAGTATATAAATTTGGCCTGGTGATACGGCTTAGATCACCCGTATTGCAAAATCTGGCTGTTGTGATTTACCTTGTTTAAAGATCTTTAGTCTTTGAACTTTGATCGTACTTGTAAAGTCTTTAATATATCAGTAACGCACGACTTCTTTATATAACGTCATAACGTTTCATATGGCCATGGAAGTTAAACAACGCCGTGTGAAAGTGTACCAACTGAGTAGGGAAAGCGAATGGTTGGACAAAGGTACCGGCTTTTGTACCTGTTTAGTTAACGAGGTAGGATCGCTCTCCGCCATTTATGTTTTAAACCAAAATAATTCCTGGATCTGTTTTTCGGTATTTTTTTGGTCGAATAAAACTCGAAAAATTATTTGTATTCAACTATTGGAACTATTGGAACTATTGGCTTGATACTTCACTAGTCACAGCTTTAATTGTTGAATTCAACTCCCGGATTTATATAATGGTTTTAAGCTTACATCATTTTTTATTGGTTTTCAAATATTCTTATTAAATTATAGGCAAAGGATGATGCTTGTATCATCGTCCGCTCTGAAGAGGATACAGCTGTTTTATTACTGAACTCCCGCATAATGAAAGATCATGATTATCAAAAGCAACAAGGTGCTCTATTATTGATTTCAATATTCCAACATTTTATATTCAGATGTTTAACTCATTTTATTCAATTTTATGAACAGACACGTTAGTAGTTTGGACTGAACCTAATGGATTAGATTTGGCTTTAAGTTTTCAGGAAGCTGAGGGTTGTACAGAAATATGGTACTTGTTTTAGATAAAAAAGAATCTTTTAATAATTATTGGTATTGTAGATATTTTTTACTTAATCACTGTGACCATATAGGGAGTTTATATCGGACATTAAAGTTCGTATGGGCAATTCAAATTCTAGTGGTGAGTTATCACTAGATATTGGATTATTCTAGAAAACAATTTTTTTTTTTCATTAAATGACATTATCACTGGCTCATTTTTTATTAGATGCGCGATCTAGTCCTCCACCAGAACCGGAAATACCGAATATGACGATAAAACTACCGGAACCAACCTTGTCTAATTTAGAAGAAATTGAAACAATAATTAAAGTGTCGAGTCGGTCCATTTATGAACGAGAAAAGCTTGCAGCATTTGTTACGCAGGTACTTATGTGTATATTATGGCACATTAAATTAATTTTTTTTTTTTTTTATTCGTATTGTTCATAGTAAAGAGTTTACATGTCATGAGCTTGGTGTAGTTTCATTCGTATTTACTTTTATTTACTTTTTTTATTTCCTTTTATTAACTTTAATTGTTTTTTTTTTCTATTAGGGTTACATTGCTAAATTACTACCTCTACTTGCAACATGTGAGGATCTTGAAGATTTAAAAGACTTACATAGATTATGTAATATAATGAAAGGCATTAGTATGTATTTTGTCCTTTCGATTTTAAAATTTCAGTATTCATAACTTAATTCTGACCAACATCCGTCTACCTTTCATAGTAATGCTTCAAGATAGCGAAATTTATGAATTTATTTTACGCGACGATGTTATTATGCAAGTTGTTGGAATGCTAGAATGTAAGCTAAATATCTATAAAAAAAACTTAATGCTGTAATTTGATTTTCACAGTAATCTTTAAAATTTAAATGGTTTTTATAGATGATCCCGAATTCCCTATTTACAAAGCTAACCATCGCCAATATCTGGCAAATAATTCAAAATTTAAAGAAGTGAGATTAATTATTTAAATTACAATATTATATAAGAATTATTTGAACATTTATTTATTTGTCCTTTTTTGTAGATTGTTAAAATAAAGGACAAGGCGATCGAAACAAAAATTCATGAAACTTTTCGTCTTCAATATCTCAAAGATGTAGTGTTTGCACGTGTATTCGATGATCCGACAAGTTCTATACTTTCATCACTTATTTTCTTTAATCATGTTGATATTTGCAAACACTTTTCACACGATGATGAATTTTTGGAAGAACTCTTTAATATTGTTAATGAAGAAAATGGGTCACCAAAACGTAAACGCGATGTTATCATGTTTGTTCAACAACTTTGTTTTATCGCCAAAAGTATTCATGTACAACATAAAAAAGAATTGTACAGGTTTGTATAAAAATTGTTTAGCATATATTATATTAGAACCATTTTTAATTGATTAATTAAAATAAAAATAGGTCATTAGCAAGGCATGGACTATTTAAAGTTTTTGATCATTCATTGGTGGATGATGATCCAACCGTCAAGACTGCTGGTGGTGAAATATTAGCGTCTCTTTTGGATACAGATGCAAGTATTATTAGATCTCATATTGTGAAGCAGGCTGAGGACAAAAAGAAAACTTTGGCAGAAACAATCATTGAGAGATTTATTCAAGATCCAGATTTGGGTGTAAAAGCTCAATACGCTGAAGCTCTTCGGCTTTTACTAGATATGAATGCTGGATTATCAGAGATGGGTTTTATAGTTCCAGAGGTTTGTCATATACATTCATAATATATTATTAAAGATGTTAATCAAAGATTTTGTTTATCTAATCATTTTATTTGTTTGTTAATAGTCATTATCTCTGCTTCAACCTAAACATGATGATGATATCGATAATTTTTTAAATTTATTCTATGAAGAACTTATATCAAAGATGGTAAAACCAGTTTCAGACCTTGAAAAAGAAGATGGTGAATATTATTATTAAATCTTAGAATAAAGGTTTTTTTTTTTTAATGTCTTCAATAATAATAATATTTTTCTTGTTTAATTTCATTATATTCTAATTAAATTTATAGAAGTTCTTAGTTTATCTCCTGACATAGCAGCATTATGTTTTCATATATGTGAGCTCTTGTCATTTGTTATCCGACAACATACTTTTAGAAGTAAATATTTTGTATTATCAACCGATATATCATCAAAAATATGCATGCTATTTAGATGTCCTGAAAAATATGTAAAATTAGGTGAGCTTTAAAAATTTTTTATCTATTATTATAAAAATTAACAAAAAAATGAATACTAATGCAAATATATTTTAAAGCCGCTTTGCGGTACTTTCGAGCCTGTATAGGTATGAAAGAAGATTTTTATAATAGATATCTAGTACGTAATAATCTTTTCGATCCCATAATACGCGTGTTTATGGAAACGAAGGGACGGGATAACTTATTAAATTCAGCGTTTCTTGAGTTATTTGATTTCATAAGAAAGGTACGATTATTCTTATACAGTTGATACTGTCTAATTGCATACTGTCTAATTGCATATACTCTCTAAATGCATAAAAAATTTTGACTTTTAATTATTAACGCAAAGATGGTTCTTATGACTTAAATGCATATATTGTCTATATGCGTAAAAAAGTCTCTGACGGATAGTATGCGATTAGACAGTATCGACTGTATATTTCAATCAGGAATGAAATGTCATTGAAATAATTTATTTTTATTAATTTTATAGGACAATATTAAATATCTTATTACACATATAATGGAAAGGCATGGTGAACAATTGTTAAAAATTGATTACGTTGATACTTTTCAACAACTTCAACTTCGTTATGAACAAAATAAAGAAATCCTTATTGGATCAGATAAATCACCCGGTGAATCTAGTCAAAGGTAATATATATCTTTAAAGCTTCATTTTTTTTTTTTTTTTTTTTTTTTTTGGTGGTACTTATAGCTTAGTATTTAACCGATTTACTGGATATAAATTACAGTCAAAGCAATATACGTCAAACAGGTCGCGAAGGTTGGTCATCTGGAATAGGTGATGAAGACGAAGATGCGTACTTTAACACTTCAGATGAAGAAGATAATATTAGTAATACATCCGGTGAATGTTCGAAAATTGTCACAACAAAGCAAGATGATGAATCTAAAGAAGGATCAATACATGAAAATGAATCAAAATCACCAGCCGATTCAAAAGAAGAGTCAAAAACTAGTAGTGTAGGAACTGTGGGGTTGGTTGATTATCCAGATGATGATGATGAAAAAGTGAAAAAGGACATTGATGAATCAGTAACTTCCGAAGCTTCCGATAAACAACAAACATCAACTTCACCACCATTATCACCGCGACCAAGTCAGCCGATCATAGGGAAACGATCAAGAGCTGATGATGATGATGATGATGACCTTTTGGTACGTGCGAAAACTCCACAGCCTGCTACAAACGAGGCATCCCTCTCGTCAAATGGGTCCTCACCCAAGAAAAGTGGATTAAAGATTCTGCGATCGTCTCCGACGTTGAGGCCGAAAATGAAGAAGGCACGCACAGAATAATTTTATTTTTATGTGGGTTGGAGATAGTGAGTCTCTATTGGGTGTTTAATGCGAATTTTGAAAATTGTTATATTAAGTTATTCTTTTGTAACAGGCATAATTGATGATGACCTTTCAGTAATCGGGAAAAAAAAAAAACACTCCGCGAAATTATTAATTATATTTAAAAAAATGTGTTTAGACAAAAGCAATATGTGATCAATATTAGTACAAACGAAATTCATATTTTTTAGTTTCA